CACTATTCCTCCCACTGACACCAATGATGGGGCACTATTCCTGCCACTGATACCAATGATGGGACACTATTCCTCCCACTGATACCAATGATGGGACACTATTCCTCCCACTGATACCAATGATGGGACACTATTCCTCCCACTGACACCAATGATGGGCACTATTCCTCTCACTGACACCAATGATGGGGCACTATTCCTCCCACTGATACCAACGATGGGACACTATTCCTCCCACTGACACCAATGATGGGGCACTATTCCTCCCACTGATACCAATGATGGGGCACTATTCCTCCCACTGATACCAACGATGGACACTATTCCTCCTCCACTGACACCAATGATGGGGCACTATTCCTCCCACTGATACCAATGATGGGACACTATTCCTCCCACTGATACAATGATGGGGCACTATTCCTCCCACTGATACCAATGATGGGGCACTATTCCTCCCACTGACACCAATGATGGAGCACTATTCCTCCCATTGACACCAATGTTGGGGCACTATTCCTCCCACTGACACCAATGATGGGACACTATTCCTCCACTGATACCAATGATGGAGCACTATTCCTCCCACTGACACCAATGATGGGGGACTATTCCTCCACTGACACCAATGATGGGGCACTATTCCTCCCACTGACACCAATGATGGGACACTATTCCTCCCACTGACACCAATGATGGGACACTATTTCTCTATTACCAAAAATAGGGTACTGCTCACTCCCATTGCCTACAGCACATTTTCTGCTTCTACTGGTCACAGTCCAGCCCAGGGACGGACTGACCATTTCAAAACTGCCTGAGGGCCCGGGGTCAGTAGGGGGCCCCATGAGATGCCCCTGGTACCCTTCATAGGCTTTTTTGGGTGTGGTTTGAGTGTGAGCAAGGTCACAGGGGCCCCATGATCCCCTATTGCCCGGGGGCCCCATGAGTTGTCAGTCTGCCCCTGGTCCAGCCCCCTAAAGCCTGAAGGACAGTAAACTGGTCCTTTGTTTAGAATGTTTGGAGACCCCTGCATTACACTATTACAATGTCAGAGTGTCCGTATGATCTGATCTACTGGTAAAATCAGGTTGGACTGTCCATTTACTCTACTGATAGGTCAGGTTAAACATCTAAAGGTCCTAACTATTGAACCATTGCCACCTGATGTATTGTTTTTTATTGTCCATTGCACAGTTTGGGCCCATGTTTGCCCATGTTGCCCCCGCCTTCCTTGGACACTTTTTTTTGAGGTTCGGCACAAACTTGGCCAAGGAAGAGAGGTCTTGATTGTCATAGAAGCCAGTTTAGTGCAGAGATTGTCTAGAACTAACCACTCTCTGCTGGGCACCAGAGGGTTTACTCCATACCATGAGGTTCATGGGAGCCAGTGGTGTTCCATTGAGTTCTCTCTGCATAGAGATCTGCGGAGTTGAGGCTAGGCACATGACTATTAGCTCACACAACATGGTTATCCTCCATCTCGTAAGGCCGTACCACTGCACTGTAAATGGGGTTCTTAAGCAGACTATTCACAGAGTGAACTTCAGTCGGTTCCCGATGAGCTAGTTGAAATTCAAGCCATGAGTGACTCTATCAGCACCACATCCTTTGGTCTGCAAATTGAAGGATCAGGGTGGTAAATGGATGGCAGAGCAATGACTGCAGCCAATCAGTTGCAGCCACTGTTTGGGCATTCTGACAGCCATGGGTGAGGGCGTCAAATTACAATAGCCGGCAGGGGAGATTCCTCCACCCCATGCTGTTTAGATTTCAAACTTGATCAACCAGTGAGGAGACCTTAGTCTGCTTTATAGGGCCAACATCTCAATATTTTTTTTTTTACTCAACCAGATCTCAGGACAGATGGGTCAGTGCTAAGATCTAGAAAGAAGTGAGATATCACAGGAAATCAAATTTTTCACACATATTTTAGGTTCTCCAAGGTTTACGTTACCTGAGATTCTGGATTTTGCAGTCAGGATGGGCTAACGCTTTAGCTATAAACTGAATGTCGTCATCCTTCAATTCGTTCAAATTCAGTCTATAAAGGTAGATTAATGAAAAAGAAAAATATTTTAGTGTTAGGACTCCAGTCCGAAATATTTTAAGTGTACATTCATACCTTCAAAGCTTAACCATCACTGGTCTACCACTGGGTAGATCTGGGTCTTTTTATTCAACCTTTTAAACTATGCCAACCCAAGCCAGTATTTTTTTTTTTTTAGAAAGAGTAAGAAAGAGTGAAAATGGAAGGAAGAAGGCATGGACAACAATAAAAACATTATCATTAGTTCTAAACCTTGGTCTTTGGATTTGTCCCCATTTTAGATATGTAGCACTGCCCCCTTAGGAGTCGTAAGTTTTGGGTCCCCCCAAAGCTCTGCACAGCCAGGCATCACGCAGGAGTCGTTAAACAGTCCTTGAGCTTGGTTTTGTGATTTTATTAAGGGTTGAATTGGATAGGGTATATGGGATGCCCAAGGGAGCTTTAGAACTTTGCAACTATGTGCACAAATGTAGACAAAAATAGTCTCTCCTCTAAGAGCATTCAAAGCTCTTTGGTGTACCTCCTCATTCCCCGGATGAATCCCCCTCCTCATCCAGCTGTACTGAGGATATTTCCTGGTTAAGCAGTCCCAGATGAGAAGATAGTTGGGTTTTTCACCTGACTGCCCTTATCTGGCCCAGGGGGTGTAAGAGTATTCACACTGTCCTTTCCCTCTCAACTTGGTGGGTTGGTGGCTGCCTTCCGGCCTTCAGGCCTTTTGCTGGGATGGCTCCTTCCCTGCTGCTCGAGATGTCCTCCCTAGGAGATCGTGGTACAGTGGAGGTCCTCTTTTTCAGAATCCTACCTGTAGGTGAGCCTCCTCCCAGGCTCAACACTCCAGCTCCTCACTCCATCTTCCACCTGACACTCACAGAACTCCTCCCCATGCTCTGTCATACTTAAGGGTTATCTTGGTCACCATGCCCAGCCTCCTGCCAGGGGATTGGCCAGGGACCCTCAAGTATGCAGATCTGAGCCTCCTCCCCGCCTCCGCCCCTCTTCCAAAAAGTTCCTCGAGTTTCTGGAAAGGTGGGAGGGTTCCAGAAGCTCTGACCTGCAGAACCTCCTTAGCCCGTCCTGAAGTGAACTACTGTCCCACACACAGGCTGCCTCATCCCCAGGCTGCTACTCAGCCTCCATCTAAAAAAATGAAAATTCTCTAGTTAAGCTAGGGGGCATTACAGATATTTCCCATCTCTTTCTGTCCTGACAAGAAATGCGAGGAAAACTCCCTATTGAGATGACCCTGACAGGGGATCTATGCCTTCCCCACACCATCCAAATGCAATTAAAAACAAATTGGCTGGAGTTGGGTTTTAGCAAATATAATATACTTAAAATAGAAGTACAGCCAAAACGTTTTTTCTAATTACTTTTGGAAATACTGGAAGAATGAGTTATGTTTTATGGTGTACACATTGGGGAGATTACCCCTTACTCACTGTTGTGTCACCAAGATAGGAAATAAGGAAAATACCTTTTACGGAGATGTGGACAACAACAAGCCAGAAATCGTGGAGGACACAAAAACAAAAAAGTGACTAAGGTCCAACTTCTCTCCCCCAATCTAAAAAAAAAAAAATGTTGGACTGGTTCTTGTTTAAATGCTCAATCAAAATCTTTTTTTTTTTTTTAACAGCAAAGCTGCCCTTCCACAATATCAATGAATGCAGCTCTCTATTTTGACCTTCCACAGCTCCCTTCCTTGGCCTTCCAATAACTTTGATTGGGGCCCAAGCTGAGATTTCCAATGGAAAGAGCTCAACACCAGAGCCAACATGAGAAGACGTCAATGGACAACGCAAACAAATGGCTTCTGCCAAAATCAAATATCCAACTTACGATTTAGTATTTGTTTAAAGCAGAACTAAACTGAAAATGTAAAAAAAATGCTGGTAGGCCGGCACATTATTGCAGAAGAGACATGCATCTTCCTTCCCGGCATACATCAGTGCCAGAACGAATAAACTATTGTGTGGGAGTTATGTCATTCTGAGAGTTACGTCAAGATGGCCATAGATCCCAAACCCAGGGAAGATGCCAGGTGCCGACAAACGTAGCAAGGGAGTTGAGTTTAGATCCACTTTAATAACACGTAATAAAATGGCTAATTATTTAATTGAAATACAAACATAAAAAAAATGATTTACCTACCGAAGCGTCTGCACTGCGTGAAGACCCGGGGACAGTCTCTCCCAGCATTCCGTTTCAAGGAAACATTTCTCTAGATCGAGGCTTTCAGGTTCTTTGCATGATTTCAAAATGAAAGCCAACACTGTGCAGTCAAGGGGTGTCAGGCTGAATCTTGAAAAATCAATTTTCAGGTTTTGCCCTAATATTTGTGACACTAGTTCTTTATTTCGAGATTCAAAGAGGTAGTTGAAAATATTTAAAGTCTCCCTCCTTTCCCAAGCATCCTTTGATGTCTTCTTAACTAGTGGGGAGAGGTGATGGAGCAAAGTGATGACGTTTTTGGAAACTTCATCGGAGAAAACGAATATGTTAGAAGAGCCTTGATGGAGAGGTGATTGTTTTAGAAGAGCTTTGGTAGAGCCATCGGTCAGACCAAAAAGGAAACGAAGAAATATTTCAGCATGGCCATCTCGAGAAGACTTTGATTTGGCTTTTTCCAGTACTTTCAGTAATTTTTCAGGTTTCTGGTCCACATGATGGACCAAAGCAGCCAAGAACTCCTGAACGTAAGATGTAAGAAGGAATAGTTGACATAAGGAAGCTGCTTGGATTCCACCATAAAACTTGTTAAGAGATGCAATGATGTGTCCACAGCAAATGATTCCAGATCATGTTTCTCAAATACAATCATGTGGTTCATTACCCCAAACTCTGCCAACCATCCAATATCCTTCAACAGTTTTTTGGCTTTCACCCTCTCTATCTCCTGGGAATGATTGGTCAGAATGTTGCTGATGAAAATCACAAAAAGTTGAGTCACTGTTTTTGGCAAACATAATTCTGACTGATTGCACTTTGTTTGTTGAGATTTGAAGCACATCGATAAGACTGTGCAGATGATCCAGCAATACGATGGGATGTAGCAGAAAGTATACAGAGCTTCATTGTCCCTCACGTGATTATAAGCCCGTAAGGCCAAATCATTGTCGTTAATAAAAAATTGCCCAAAGTACGTCTTCCTTTCTTCATGAAAAAATCCCATGACCTCACAAAATAGCTGAAAAATGTAAGGATCAATGGAGGCCAGTTTGGCTGGTCTACTGGTTAACAGCAAAGAGCAACCCTTTAGAAGAGATTGCCTCAACAAGTTAACCAAAATCTCACCAAGGCCTTGCTTCTGCTTTGTGTTGGCGTTCGGAGGTCTGGATGCAAAGTCTATTTGGTGGCGACTTTCATCTAAGCCATCAAATATAAATAAAAGCTGTTCCGGGACCTTTAAGATATTTTCAAGCTGAGAATTTAGATATGGATACTGTTGAAGGATCATCTCCTCCAAGCTGACTTCTTCCAGCCGGTTGAGCTCCCGGAATTTAAAGAAGAAAACAAAAGAAAATCGCTGATAGAGCTTTCTGTTCACCCAATCACAGACAAACTTCTGCATTAGGGTGGTCTTCCCTACTCCTGGTACACCACTGATCATGATCACATTCGGCACTTGTTTTATTTGACGGCACCAGCGGAAGAGCCTTTTAAGAGAAACTCGCTCCAATCTTCTTTGAGTCTTACACAAGTAGCTTTCGTGTTTTTCCCCAATCTCTATCAGCTCGTGCTGAGTACGATGTCTAAGTTGCTCTGTGGACACCAAAACCAGATTAACAAAACGTTCTGAAATGGGAAAATCTTGACTCTTCAGGGTGGTTCCCGGTGGCTTACACTCCACTAAATTCTGAGTTGTATCCAGCAGATATTGTTTGTGCTTATCTTGGATTTCTGGCCAAAAAAAATACAAAGATGTAAATTAATTTTCCTTCTAAAATGCCAACCGCGATTTTGTCTAAATCCTTAGCAATTGATCATAGAGATGACAAGTGTGACTCTAGAGCAGGGGTTAAAATTTTAAGTCCAGACCTACTAGCCGGTCACAAAACTTACTCTCCACCAGTTGCCCTACCCAACCTTGCCCAAAAACCCACCCCCTGCCCAACCCAAACCCCACCCCAGCCCGCCCTCAACCACGCCCCCTTAAAGCTTATGAAATTAAATTTTTCTTTAGAATAAAGAGTCCAAAATATAAAACTGTACACAGTAATGTATATCCAAGCTCCCCTGTACTTCATTATAGTGAGATGTTGTATACAGTACTTACTCCTAGTCCCTCCGAGTCCACCACGGCGGTGGAGAGGGTGTCTCCTCTCAGAGGAGGAAAGTGGACCTCTCCTGCACTTGTCCCCTCAGCGGTGGTGCCGCGTAAACCAGAAGTTGTTAACCAGAACTCGGCTTCACAATGAGGCTTGGAGCGCAGGTGCAGTCGCTCCATGCTTCATCTGTGCTTGCTGCTCGCCACAGAGGGATTTCTCCACGCGTTTGGCGAGCGGGCGAATGGCTTTTTCAAGCCCTGCTCTAGAGTGTCTCCTGTTTTTCATTCCTGTAGCAGGCATGGCCAGCAAGAGTTAAAGAGATTTAACCCCTTCCTGTTCAGCACCAACATGCCTTAAACAGGATCTGTATGTCCATGGGGCAGGAAGGATCGGGCCATCATGTGATCACTGTCACAGTGGTCACATGATCGGGAGCTGATCTTTAGTATAGGCAGAAAGTTGTCTTTGACAATTCCTTCACTGTGCCGGGAGCATGCAGTGAGTGAGTTCTGCTGCCCATGGACACCCATGGACACATATGTGCGATGGCAAAGAGGGAGAGCTTTAACCCATTTCATGGGTGGCTAGAAGTTAAGGGTGGCAAAAAAAAGCCACAGCTTGGGTAGGGTGCAGCTTTTACATTTAGATATGTATTTTGTATAAAAAAATGACATTTCTTGCAGAATTCACCCGTGACAATTAGAGATGAGCGAATTATTCAAAAATTCGGTTCGGCTGATTCGCCGAATTCGCCGAATAAATTTGCTTCGAGCCGAATATATTTGCTGCGAATTTAACTTATAAAAAGGGTGTTTCTAGGCTTCAGAGAGCCTTTATATTAGTGCAGAACACTGTACCGTTTAATTTAAATGCCCTTGGAGTCTGCTGGGGAAGAGAAATAATACTGTCAGTCAGTATGACATGCAGATGAGTGCCGTCGATCTTAGAATCACCGCACACTTCACTCATTTGGGCAGTCACGGGGCCAAAACCAGAGTGTGGAGCCACAGTGTGGCGGTGGAGGCAGCAGCAATGGGAGGCCATACAGCACCCTATGACAAAATGGAACCCACCAGCAGTGTGAGGAGACCTGAAAGTGGCACATGGCAGAGTGTGGCGATGGAGACAGCAGCAATGGGAGGCCGTACAGGGACCCATGACACACTCTGGACCTGGCAGCAGCATGAGGAGGCGGTACAGGGGCTCATGACAGATTACGGGCCTGGCAGCAGCATGAGGAGTTGGTACGGGGGCCCATGGCAGATTACGGGCCTGGCAGCAGCATGAGGAGGCGGTACAGGGGCCCATGGCAGAGTGGCGGAGCGTAAGCAGCTAAAATTGAAGGCCATACAGAGGCCTATGTTAAAAAGTCCCCCCAGCAGCAGCGTGGGGAGACGACTATCAAGAGTCCAATGGCAGAGTGGCGGAGCAGAAGCAGCTTCAATTGAAGGCCATACACAGGCCTAGGTTTAAAAGTCCCTCACAGTTAATTCCAATAACGAACTCTACTCCTCCGTGCAATCTACTTACGAGACCCTGGGCAGGTCTGGGTCCAATTTGTGGTAGAGACTGGTTTTGTTCAGCCATGCTTGAGCGAGTAATAACAGGTCTGTGCTGCCCTTTGGTGTCTGGCTTAATGCGCACAACACTGAACGTCCCAGCGTTTGTCAACGATTTGCCGTTAAGTGATGCAAACCCGCTGAACCACGTTCATGAGGAGCCGGTACAGGGGGCCATGAATCAGTATGGACCTGGCAGCAGCGTGAGCAGACGACAGAGGCACATGGCGCAGGGTGGCGGTGTAGGCAGCATTATTCTGAAGCCATACACAGGCCTAGGTTAAAAAGCGGAAGCCGTCAGCAGCGTGAGCAGACGACAGATTCTGTGTCCCTGAGTAACGATTCTGTGGCCCTAAAGTCTCTGTGGCCCTAACTCTGTCCCTTAATACACACAGGTCTGTCTCTCTTGAATGACCGGAGGCTAATGGAGAATTCTAAGATGGCCGCGATTTATAGCTCCACCATTACACAGTGCTGGCTGGCTGCTGATTGGCTAATGCGATCACATGTCATGAATGCATTATGGGTCAGCGCGCCTTGTCTGCGCGCCTTCCCAGAGATCCCCGCCCCATCTTCTCTGTCCATTTTCTCCGTCGCCACACATGTCACCGCCATTTTTGGGAAAATTCGATTCGTGCATCCGAAGTTTGCTAATCTTCGGATTTGTCGCGAATAGAATTTTTCCAAATCTTCGGAACGAATTCCACTTCGTCATGTTCGATTCGCTCATCTCTAGTGACAATAAAGTCACAAAACAGTCTGTGTTTTCTAAAGAGAGAGAGAGAGAGAGAGTCTGAAGGCAAGTAGCTCCTGGTGCTCTCTCTCTCTTTGAGGCAGGAAAGGCATGGGAGGGGTAGGAGCCACTCTTCTAATGTAAATGTGTCTGTAAATTGAAGCTTTACCTACCATGCTCTGTAAGCATGCTTCCTTTTTGTTTGTTTTTTTCAACAGAGCAGCTTACAATATGCTGGTAAATGTGAAAGGGAGACTAGATCTCCCCCTGCTGGCTGGAAATATTAAAAATGTACATCTTATATTTCAGATACCCATATGAAAGAAAAATATATCTGAAATATATTTTAAAAATATTCTTCCCAAATATATTGCCATATATTTGAAATGCTACAATTTTGGTCATATTCAATATATATATATATATATATATATATATATATATATATATATATATGTGTGTGTGTGTGTGTGTGTGTGTATCATGTCGTTTTCAAGAGCCTACCACAACAGGCTGATTTCAGGATGTTTCAACAGGCAGAATTTCAACATTCAAAGGTAGTGATGGAGTTTGCCATTATCCTGTCCCTTCCCACATCCATCCACTTTTCTATTGCCCTCTCCATCCATCCATCTGTCCATTCATCCATCCACCCATCCTTTCATTCATCCATCTATTCACTCATTCATTTATCATTCGTCCATCCATCCATTGTATTGCTTACCTTTCATTTCTGGATCAAGAGAGTGTCCGTATTCATCCATTATTATTTGTTCTTTCAGTGTCGTTACTAAATTGGACAAGATCATAGGCAAAAAAAAAATGTTTGCACATTAATCACAGGACTGTCCAAAGATATACAGACATGAGGGAGTAGATTGGGGGCTTATTGTTGACTGTCCTTCAGTAATGATCCCATTGATACCCACTGGCTCCCTTGTTATCTCTGGTCTTGACTCTTGCAACCTCCATCTCATAGGCCAACATCTACGTAGACTATCCTTTCTTTGGGCTATCATGAATGCTGCTGCCAAACTCATCTACCGTACCCACCACTCAGTGTCCGACACCCCTCTCTGCCAGTTTCTCCATTGGCTTCCCATCGCCCCAACGAATATAATTCAAAATGCTAACAAAAACAACCACACAACCATGCCCCCAGCTACATCACCAATCTTGTCTCAATATATCACCCACCCAATCCATCCTCACTGCTTCTCCCAAGATCTCCTGTTCTCCAGATCTCTTGTCTCCTCCTCCCATGCTAATCTCCAGAACTTCTTCAGAGCTGCTCCCATCCTCTGGAACTCTTCAGTCTCTCCAGCAATCTCCCACTCTGTCCACCTTTAGGAGATCCATGAAAACGCATCTCTTCAGGGAAGCCTATCCCACCTCCACCTAACAACTGAACTTTTAATTGTTCCATCAGCTCATCCCCCACAGTTATTACCTTTTGTATCACCTGCCCTCACTGTTAGATTGCAAGCTCTTATGAGCGGAGCCCCCCTAACCCTATTATATTGTATTGTATTTGTACTGTCTCCCTTCATATTGTAAAGCTCTACTTAAACTGATGGAGCTATATAAATTATGTATAATACACTGCTCAAAAAAATGGAAGGAAGACTTTGTAATCCGAGTCTAGCATCAAGTCAATGAAACTCCTGGGATATTGATCTGGTCAGGTAAGTTCCAGAGGGGGGTGTTCATCAGTTTCAGCTGCTTTGGTGTTCATAAAATTAACAACAGGTGCACTGGATGGGCAACAGTGAGACCACCCCCAAAACAGGAATGGTTTTACAGGTGGAGGCCACTGACATTTTTTTCCCAACTCATCTTTTCTGACTGTTTTTCAATAGTTTTGCATTTGGCTTGGGTCAGTGTCACTACTGGTAGCATGAGGCCATACCTGGACCGTACAGAGGTTGCACAGGCAGTCCAACTCCTCCAGGATGACACATGAATACCTGACATTGCCAAAAGGTTTGTTGTGTCTCCCAGCACAGTCTCAAGAGCATGGGAGGAGATTCCAGGAGACAGGAGCATGGAGGAGATTCCAGGAGACAAGAGCATGGAGGAGATTCCAGGAGACAAGAGCATGGAGGAGATTCCAGGAGACAAGAGCATGGAGGAGATTCCAGGAGGCGAGAGCATGGAGGAGATTCCAGGAGGCGAGAGCATGGAGGAGATTCCAGGAGGCGAGAGCATGGAGAAGATTCCAGGAGACAGGCAGTTCCTCTAGGAGGGCTGGACAGGGCCGTAGAAGGTCCTTAACCCATCAGCAGGAACGGTATCTGCTCCTTTGTGCAAGGAGGGACAGGATGAGCCCTGCCAGAGCCCTACAAAATGACCTCCATCAGGCCACTGGTGTGAATGTCTCTGACCACCAAACAATCAAAACAGACTTCATGAGGGTGGCCTGATGGCCCGACATCTTCTAGGGCAGGGGTAGGCAACCTGTGGCTCTCTAGCTGTTGTGGAACTACATTTCCCATGAGGCATTGCAAAGATTACAAAACTGACAGTTACAGCTATGACTTGCAGAGGCATGATGGAACTTGTAGTCCTGCGGCTCTCAGGTTGTCTGCCCCTGCTCTAGTGGGTGCCATACAAACTACTGAGTACCATTTTGAGTTGCTGCAATGACATTTCAGCAAAATGGACTTGCCAGCTGCATCATTTTTTTCACTTTGATTTTGGGATGTTTTTGAATTCAGTCCTCGATCATTTTCATTTCCATCCAATGATGGGGCATCCTTATGTTCCTAACACATTACCCCGTCCATATTACTATAGATATCTAGCATGATATTTTTCCCCATTGAGATCTGATGTGTTTTTAAAGTGTTCCTTTCATTTTTTGAGCAGTGTACTAATAATCACTTACTGAATCATTAAAGCTGAATAAAAGGCACAAATTATTGCAACAAGTCCCATTGGAAATATGTCGCTCTACTTCCTGTTCTGTAGATGCAACAGGAAATCTATCCAACGAGAGGCTCCTAAACAGTTGTCACCAGATCAAGTGTCCCTATTGGATTATTTTCCCTCTATTCCTGTTCTGGAAAGAAATGAACATTTTTGGAATGTCCCTCTTTTTCAGTCCTGGTGGCAATGGTCACCAGGACAAACATCGAGCATACTATTTCTAGAAGGCAGCTATGAAAACTGAAGTGTTCTAATTCCTCAACACTCCGTCCAAAACTAAACAATAAAAACGTTTCTGCTTGAGATACATTTTATGATACATATAATACAAACTAGTTCATAATAATACGTTACTTTCAACGTTCTGGATTTCCCAAAGAACTGCAAGTAAATTGTGATGAGGGTGACTGGTCTGTAGACTGTAGAGACTTTCCAAGAATCCTATCACAGCATTTTTTCCGGCTTCCAAGACATCCTGTACCAACGTCTCTGAAAACACGGAGGCTCCGAGGCTTTCTTTCATTGATTCGTAATTCTGTTTCAACACAAGGACGTCAGAGATGAAGGGAGGAGAAGTCAAGGTCTCAGAACAGAAAACATGGCTGGCTTAGTCTACAACCTTGGATAGTTGGTTCCACGTACCAGTAGAACTTTCTGTGAACTAACGGACTGTAAAATACAAGCAAGTACATTGAACTCCAACCAAAACTCCTATCTAAGGTGGTGGGGAGGCAATACAGGTGGTTTGATTAGGCGGTAAAACAGCCTGGTCTCCTCCCTACCCCCAGCCTGTGATTGGACAGTGAAGGAGCAGAAGAAGTTTCATGAGGTCATCTCAGACATATCTCCTCCTATCATGTTCTTAGTCAGCAAATGTTCACTGCAGCCTACACCTGATTGGTTCCCAGGGTCCTTGGTGGAGTGATACCAAGTGCACTTCACTTGAGACCAGGGGCGGACTGACAACTCATGGGGCCCCCGGGCAATAGGGGATCATGGGGTCCCTGTGTCCTTTCCCAAACTCAAAAAAGCCTATGAAAAAGGTACCAGGGGCATCTCATGGGGCCCCCTACTGACCCCGGGCCCTCTGGCAGTGCCCAAGTTTCCAAATGGTCAGTCCGCCCCTGCCTGAGACCTTCCTAGTGGCCTGGAGACTGAAAACGATGCCAGCAGAAGCTGAAAAAGGAAAAGAAGGTCGGGGCATTAAACAACGCATACACTGCACTTTTGCAGTGGGCATATTAGACCTATAAAAGGGTAACAGCTATTAGGGTGCCTTCACACTAATCAAGTGCAGAGCAGGAACATGCGGCTTTCCTGCAGGTTAGATACACTGACCCATGCACTTCTATTATATCCTGCAGGTCTGGTACTCCTTCTGAAAAGTGCACTAAAATCCTAAATACGGGAGATTTGGTGTGCCACACTTGCAAGATATAATAGAAGTCTATGGCAAAGCACAGCTAACCTACCGGAAAGCCTCAGATGCACTGCGCTGCACCCACGGTGCAGGGAAACCATAGTGCATCAGTGTGAAAGCAGCCTTATAGGGGGATCATGACAGTAAGGGCTCCTTTACAGCTTGGGGGGTGGTGGTAAAACCCCATAGTTGAGATATGTTTCTACCACACACCCCCCAACCACTGATGTAGCATCAGGAGTCACAATGGCAACCTCGCCCCATGCTCCAGGGGGCCCATGCGGCCTCCCTGTCACATTCTGTTTTACACTTTGACAGGAAGGGTGGTGGGGCGCATATACAGGAACCAATCCTCTCCATTTTCCTCCTGCAACCACTGAAAAGCCAGCTTCTCTTCTCCCCCTTACCGGCATTCAGTGGCTGCAGGAGGAAAATGTTCATTATGCAATTCCAAATGTTTAAAAGAAAAATCAAAATTCTGAACCATTTAAGTCCATTGTAGTACATGACTGGTTACCAAAAAATCTTTTAAGTGGCCCTCCCCTGGCATGGTTACCAAAAAAAATCTTTTAAGTGGCCCTCCCCTGGCATGGTTACCAAAAAATCTTTTAAGTGGCCCTCCCCTGGCATGGTTACCAAATCTCTTAAGTTGCCCTCCCCTGGCATGGTTACCAAATCTCTTAAGTGGCCCTCCCCTGGCATGGCTACCAAATCTCTTAAGTGGCCTTCCCATGGCATGGCTACCAAATCCCTTAAGTGGCCCTCCCCTGGCATGGTTATCAAATCTCTTAAGTGGCCCTCCCCTGGCATGGCTACCAAATCTCTTAAGTGGCCCTCCCCTGGCATGGCTACCAAATCTCTTAAGTGGCCCTTCCCTGGCATTGCTACCAAATCGCTTAAGTGGCCCTCCCCTGGCATTGCTTCCAAATCTCTTAAGTGGCCCTCCCCTGGCATTGCTTCCAAATCTCTTAAGTGGCCCTCCCCTGGCATGGCTACCAAATCTCTTAAGTGACCCTCCCCTGGCATGGTTACCAAATCTCTTAAGTGGCCCTCCCCTGGCATGGTTACCAAATCTCTTAAGTGGCCCTCCCCTGGCATTGCTATCAAATCGCTTAAGTGTCCTTCCCCTGGCATGGTTACCAAATCTCTTAAGTGGCCCTCCCCTGGCATGGCTACCAAATCTCTTAAGTGGCCCTCCTCTGGCATGGCTACCAAATCTCTTAAGTGGCCCTCCCCTGGCATGGCTACCAAATCTCTTAAGTGACCCTCCCCTGGCATGGTTACCAAATCTCTTAAGTGGCCCTCCCCTGGCATGGTTACCAAATCTCTTAAGTGGCCCTCCCCTGGCATTGCTATCAAATCGCTTAAGTGTCCTTCCCCTGGCATGGTTACCAAATCTCTTAAGTGGCCCTCCCCTGGCATGGCTACCAAATCTCTTAAGTGGCCCTCCTCTGGCATGGCTACCAAATCTCTTAAGTGGCCCTCCCCTGGCATGGCTACCAAATCTCTTAAGTGACCCTCCCCTGGCATGACTACCAAATCTCTTAAGTGGCCCTCCCCTGGAATGGCTACCAAATCTCTTAAGTGGCCCTCCCCTGGCATGGCTACCAAATCTCTTAAGTGGACCTCCCCTGGCACGGTTACCAAATCTCTTAGGTGGCCCTCCCCTGGCATGGTTACCAAATCTCTTAAGTGGCCCTCCCCTGGCACGGTTACCAAATCTTTGAAGTGGCCCTCCCCTGGCATGGTTACCAAATCTCTTAAGTGGCCCTCCCCTGGCATGGCTACCAAATCTCTTAAGTGGCCCTCCCCTGGCATGGTTATCAAATCTCTTAAGTGACCCTCCCCTGGCATGGTTACCAAATCTCTTAAGTGGCCCTCCCCTGGCATGGTTACCAAATCTCTTAAGTGGCCCTCCCCTGGCATGGTTATCAAATCTCTTAAGTGACCCTCCCCTGGCATGGCTACCAAATCTCTTAAGTGGCCCTCCCCTGGCATGGTTACCAAATCTCTTAAGTGGCCCTCCCCTAGCATGGTTACCAAATCTCTTAGGTGGCCCTCCCCTGGCATGGTTACCAAATCTCTTAAGTGGCCCTCCCCTGGCATGGTTACCAAATCTCTTAAGTGGCCCTCCCCTGGCATGTTTACCAAATCTCTTAGGTGGCTCTCCCCTGGCATGGTTACCAAATCTCTTAGGTGGCCCTCCCTTGGCATGGTTACCAAATCTCTTAGGTAGCCCTCCCCTGGCATGGTTACCAAATCTCTTAAGTGGCCCTCCCCTGGCATGGTTACCAAATTTCTTAGGTGGCCCTCCCCTGGCATGGTTACCAAATCTCTTAGGTGGCCCTCGCTCTTCAAAAAGGTTGAACACCCCTGGCCTATCTGATAGACCCGATATGAAGCTCCTTTGGTTTGACTGTAGGGTAGACCTGATAGGTAGATCCTTCAGTTGGCCCATCAGCCAACTGAAGGAACGCAAATGACAGGTTGACAATGCTTCTGCTAATTGAGTGGCAATGTCTTGGCTTTGTTAGCCTGCGACAGAACGTGCTTTTCTGCCCAATCAGCAGGTAAGAAACTTTATATGCAATAGATTCACAATACAGCATTTGATTAATAAAACTATCCACGAGACATGGTGCCAAACATACCGAAGAATATATTTTGGGTTTACATAGACTTTACTGGATAGGAATGGCTGCACCTTTGAGAACATTTTCATACCTCCACATTTGGAACATTTCGGGATTTCAACTCTGCCAGGAAACTGTGAGTGTTCAAGATCTGGGCGACGTAGATCAGATCATCTCTGAAGTATTCATATATCATCCGTAGTTCATGCATTTCATAGTCAGTAAGTTTTTGACTGAACTCCCGGAGGTTCTCTGTGATGGAACGTATGAAGTTACAGTGAGAAATAGCTTAGATATGAAACAAAGGTAACACCAGTGAGTACATGTAGGTCAGGGGCCGAGGGTGGCATTTTTCCGGGAGGGGCGGCACCACCACCCTTGGAAGTAGGGGCACACGTAGCATGGGGACCAGGTGGGATCCAAGAGATGGTGCGGGTTGCTTGACAATGTAAGCAGAGCTTGCTCCCGGAGATGTTTGGAGCTGTGAAGGTGAATGTCTTTCTCTATCTCGCCTTGGTGGCGGGTGTACGGGGGGCGGTGGTAGAGGAAGGCTCTCTTGGCCAGGAGGGAGATGTTAGTAGTAGGCTCTCTTAGGGTTACGAACAAGATGTCTGTAGTATTCATACATCATCCACAGTTCATGCATTTCATATTCAGTTTTTGACTGAACTCCCGGAGGTTATCTGTGATGGAACGTATGAAGTTACAGTGAGAAATGGCTTAGATATGAAACAAAGGTAACACCAGTCCTTGGTGAGGACATGTAGGGCAGAGGGAAAGTATTTACCGAGAGGCAAACAAGGTGTTTGCCTAGGGTGGCATTTTTCCGGGAGGGGCGGCACCACCACCCCTGGAAGTAGGGGCACACGTAGCATGGGGACCAGGTGGGATCCAAGAGAGGGTGCGGGTTGCTTGACAATGTAAGCAGAGCCCAAATCTTGCTCCCGGAGATGATTGGAGCTGTGAAGGTGAATGTCTTTCTCTATCTGGCCTTGGTGGCGGGTGTACGGGGGGCGGTGGTAGAGGAAGGCTCTCTTGGCCAGGGAGGGGGATGTTAGTAGTAGGCTCTCTTCGGGTTACGAACAAGATGTCTGTAGTATTCATACATCATCCGCAGTTCATGCATTTCATATTCAGTTTTTGACTGAACTCCCGGAGGTTATCTGTGATGGAACGTATGAAGTTACAGTGAGAAATACCTTAGATATGAAATAAAGGTAACACCAGTTCTTGGTGAGGACATGTAGGGCAGAGGGAAGATATTTACCGAGAGGCAAACAAGGTGTTTGCCTAGGGTGACATTTTTCCGGGTGGGGCAGCACCACCACCCCCGGAAGTAGGGGCACACGTAGCATGGGGACCAGGTGGGATCCAAGAGAGGGTGCGGGCTGCTTGACGGTGTGTAAGCAGAGCCCGAATCTCGCTCCCGGAGATGTTTGGAGCTGTGAAGGTGAGTGTCTTTCTCTATCTCGCCTTGGTGGTGGGTGTAGGGGGGACGGTGGTAGAGGAAGGCTCTCTTGGCCAGGGAGGGGAGTGTTAGTAGAAGGCTCTCTTTGGGTTACGAACAAGATGTCTGTAGGTTTGTTCTTAAGTTGAATACAGTAGTGTACATTTGTCCAGTAGTGGGACATTTTTAATGAAAGAGAATAGGCCAAAATGTACTAAAGATAAAGAGTACAGACAAGAATTTTACTACAGGCAGTCCCCAGGAAAAATATAATGGGGGACAATACAGCAACAATACAGTTCAATACAAGAGCATTAGGAGGGCCCTGATCCTGGGAGCTTACAATCTAAGAGGGAGGGGCTAGTGGTACAAAAGGTAATAACTCTGGTGGATGGTCTGGTAGGAGAAATAGAAGATTCCGTTATTAGCTGAAGGCGGGATAGGCTTCCCTGAAGAGAGAGGTTTTCAGAGATCAACTAAAAGTGGGCAGAGTAGGCGATAGTCTGTTAGATTGGTGTAGAGAGTTCCAGAGGATAGGGGAGGCTCTGGAGAAGTCCTGGAGATGAGCATGGGAGGAGGAGACAAGGGAGCTAGAGAGCAGGAGGTCATGGGAGGAGCAGAGAGTATGGTTTGGGTGATATTTAGAGACAAGATTGGTGATGTAATTTGGGACGGAGTTCTAAATGGCTTTATATGTTATTGTTAATATTTTGAATTTTATTTGTTGGGCAATGGGAAGCCAGTGGAGGGATTGGCAGAGAGGAATGGATGATACTGGATGGAGGCCAGTGGAGGGATTGGCAGAGAAGGATGGAGGACACTGAGTGGAGGTCAGTGGAGGGATTGGCAGAGGGGAATAGAGGACACTGGGTGGAGGCCAGTGGAGGGATTGGCAGAGAGGGATGGAGGACACTGGGTGGAGGCCAGTGGAGGGATTGGCAGAGAGGGGTGGAGGACACTGAATGAAGGCCAGTGGAGGGATTGGCAGAGAGGGGTGGATGACACTGGGTGGAGGCCAGTGGAGGGATTGGACGAGAGGGATGGAGGACACTGAATGGAGGCCAGTGGAGGGATTGGCAGAGAGGGGTGGAGGACACTGAATGGAGGCAAGTGGAGGGATTGGCCGAGAGGGGTGGAGGACACTGAGTGTAGACCAATGAAGGGATTGGCAGAGAGGGACGGAGGACACTGAGTGTAGGCCAGTGGAGGGATTGGCAGAGAGGGATGGAGGACACTGGAGGGATTGGCAGAGAGGGGTGGAGGACACTGAATGGAGGCTAGTGGAGGGATTGGCAGAGAGGGGTGGCATATACAGAACGGCTAGTAAGGTGGATGAGTCTGACAGCAGCATTCATGATAGACTTAAGAGGGGATAGCCTGCGATGAGGTCGGCCAATGAGGAGGGAGTTACAATAGTCAAGGCGAGAGATAACCAGGGAGTGAATAAGTTGCTTAGTGGTTTCTGAGGTTAGGAACGGTCGTATCTTGGAGATGTTGGAGGTTGGAGATGTTGCGGAGGTGAAGTCTACAATATCTGGACATCGATTGGATTTGGGGCTGAAAGGACAGATGGGAGTCTACGATTACACCTAGTACCCTGGCATGAGGGGAGGGACTGATGGTTGTGTTGTTGATCTTGATGGAGAAGTCAAGGGAGGGGGCATGGGCTGGGGGGAATAGTATGAGCTCCGCTGTGGAAAGATTGAGTTTGAGGAAGTGGAGTGCCATCCATGCCAATATGTCACTTAGTAGGTTAGTAATACGAGAGGAGACTGAAGTGGTGAGGTGAGGAGGAGACTGAAGGGGTGAGGTGAGGAGGAGACTGAAGGGGTGAGGTGAGGAGGAGACTGAAGGGGGTGAGGTGAGGAGGAGACTGAAGGGGGTGAGGTGAGGAGGAGACTGAAGTGGTGAGGTGAGGAGGAAACTGAAGTGGTGAGGTGAGGAGGAGACTGAAGGGGTGAGATGAGGAGCAGAAAGATAGATTTGTGCGTCATCACCATATGGATGCTGCATTTCGAGCGCCCCAGAGGAACCTCATACCCAAACCAAAACCCCTAGTTGAAGTTGAACTCTACAACTACATGGTTCATGAAGACATATCTGTGGTTTGCAACCGACTACTAGAGAAAAGAGGAAGGATGCGGAGACGATAAATATAGCTCAGGAAGGTGATGGCGAGGTAATGAGAATGGCAGCTCTTTATTAAACTAGATGGCATCAAGATGATGGTTTAGATTTCTTTTTGAAACAGATCTTCTGGTCTTCTAAATAATAGCGAAGATCCAAAAATTTGGTGCCACCAGCCTTGTGTCCTGCCCCGCTTGCCCAAAACAATAAAAAAGTAGTGTTATGAATGACTTTGCACTTATTTACTGAATACAGAGGAATATGGTATTGGATGGTGGCTAAACTGACCTTCATCCTTGGACCTTGATGGCTGGTCCATCCTTGATGTCACCGGTTACGGGAACCTCTACTAGAGAAAAGCATAAAAAAGTTCAATATTGTACGAGTATTATATGAAACCAACATTACCGATGAAGAATATTGACAGGGAGTTTCCATGGACATGTGTCTACGGTTACCAAAATCCAATGCCGTGCCCTTTGCCTTGCCAGATAAGTTACCGTTAATGATGGATGGGAGCCATAGGCCTGTTGTGGAAGGTAGAACTGGAACAACGGGTCGCAAGATGCAGCTGATGTGAGAAAGTGGGAGGGAGACGTACTTTCACTTTCGTCTTCACCACGGAAGGAAGGAAGGGCTGGGCTGTTCTCACAGAGCAATTTTCTGTTCATTTTATGTTTTAAAATCATTTTTTACATTTTCTTTTAGTTTTTATTCAAGCATTGAAGATTCATGAAGGCAGCAAAATCAATAAATGTGTATCAGCGCTCAATGAGAATCAATATAATAGCTGATGGCACAAAAAACACCAATAAAAACCTTAAACATAAAAAAAATCCTAAACATTTGCAACGCTGCACATTTTGTTTGAGGCAGCAAAATATAATCTAAGGATTTTAGTTCTTGCCTACATTATCCATAACGTAAATAAAAAATTGGTCTATATATACACTTTAATTGTGCTTTACTCTTAGTAATTTATATTGATTAGACATTGTAAGATCCTTTTCTGACAAATTATGTTTTTTTGCAGCCTTTTTAACCTGGAGGAACCCTTATTATTATTTATGATGGTGATTATTATTATTATTATTATTTTATTTATGATGGTGATTATTATTATTATTATATTTATTATGGTGATTATTATTATTATTCGTGATGATGATGAGGATTATTATAATTACTAATATTTTTATTATTATAGATTACATATATATCATATTATATTTTATTAATATTACATTTTGTATTACTATTATTTATGATGGCGATTATTATTATTATTATTCATGATAATGATGAGGATTATTATAATTACTATTATTTTTATTATTATTATATATTACAGGAATAAATAATGCACTGCCAAATTACACAACACTTTATGTAATGTACATTCACTTAATTTGAACTAATATTCAGGTCTCAAAAACCCTTACTAAAATTATTTTATCTATAGCAGTTGGTGCATTAGCATGATCATTAGGTTTTAAATATAACACTTATTAAAATAATAAAAAAAACTTCCGGTTTCGGCGCCGGATGCTGTAACACGCGGGACCCGTGGCTCCCGGGATCCCGGCTATACAACACCCGCTAACTGCCTCGGGGTCCCCGCTCTTCAGCCCTCGGGTGTCCCTTACCTTCTGGCAGTGGCCCCGGCATGGAGCGGTACCTTCTGCCGGCGCAGTCCGGCCACGAGTCGGCGGCTCTCCCCCTCCTGCAGCCAAGATGGCCGACGATGCCTGTCACAGTATGGACACAGGCAAGGAGCGAGATCACACTCAGGGAGCAGACAAAATGGAATCTCCCTCCAACCTCCTCACTGCCTCTCCACTCCCTTTTGGCACTGACTGCCTTAATGAGCAGTATAACAAGATAGCACAGGCAGTGTCTTCTATTTTGCTCCCTAATATTACTCAGGCTGTAGATAGAGCAGTCACAATGGGCATTGAACAGCTGAGAAAGGATCTAAGCGATCATTCTAAACCAGTGGTGGGCAACCTTTTTTTTCAACTGAGCCAAATCTCGCCAAAACCACGATTGAAATTTATTTTGAGAGCCACATTTTTAAAACTGAAAATACATCCCCCATATAGTAATTCATCCCCCATAGTAATTCATCCCCATAGTAATTCATCCCTATTGTAATTCATCCCCCATATAGTAATTCATCCCCCCATAGTAATTCATCCCCCATATAGTAATTCATCCCCCATAGTAATTCATCCCCCATATAGTAATTCATCCCCCATATAGTAATTCATCCCCCATAGTAATTCATCCCCCATATAGTAATTCATCCCCCATAGTAATTCATCCCCCACATAGTAATTCATCCCCCATATATAGTAATTCATCCCCCCATATAGTAATTCATCCCCCATATAGTAATTCATCCCCAATAGTAATTCAACCCCCAATAGTAATTCATCCCCCATATAGTAATTCATCCCCCATATAGTAATTCATCCCCCATAGTAATTCATCCCCCATAGTAATTCATCCCCCATATAGTAATTCATCCCCCATAGTAATTCATCCCCCATAGTAATTCATCCCCCATACAGTAATTCATCCCCCATATAGTAATTCATCCCCCATAGTAATTCATCCCCCCATATAGTAATTCATCCCCCCTATAGTAATTCATCCCCCATATAGTAATTCATCCCCCATATAGTAATACATCCCCCATATAGTAATTCATCCCCCATATAGTAATTCATCCCCCCATAGTAATTCATCCCCCATAGTAATTCATCCCCCATATAGTAATTCATCCCCCATATAGTAATTCATCCCCCATAGTAATTCATCCCCCATATAGTAATTCATCCCCCATATAGTAATTCATCCCCCCTATAGTAATTCATTCCCCATATTGTGTCAATTCACTTACCTTTGCTCCGCGCGTTCCTCTCGCCGTGTTCCCGCGCCGTTCCGGTCTTCAGGGCGGACTGTGAGAGGAGAGGAGTTCGTCATGCTGCCCCGCCTACATCCTGACAGCCAATGTTTGCCACGCTCCGCGGGCCGGATTAGAAGGTCCGCCGGGCCGTAGTTTGCCCATTGCTGGGCTAGCTGCAGAGTCCTGACTTTTGGGGCGGCCGCCCGAGAGGAGGGAGGGGAGCGGGCGCCCGGCACACAGAAGAGCCGCATTAAAGTGTGCAAAGAGCCGCATGTGGCTCGCGAGCCGCGGCTTGCCGACCACTGTTCTAAACGATTATCTGAGGCTGAACAGCGTTTATCTGATTTAGAAGATGAAGTCCATTCAATGCAAGCGGGTACATCACAATCCAATAGTATACAGCAAAGTATTTCGGATAAAATCGAAGATTTGGAAAATCGATCACGTAGGAATAACCTACGCATTGTGGGTCTTCCAGAATCTTTCAATACTGGATCTCTCCCCGATTTATGCTCAACACGGATCCCGGCGGCGTTAGGCCTATCCTCCTCCTGCCAGGTCGAGAGAGCTCACCGCCTGGGGCCTCCGTCTACCGAGCGCCGAACGCCACGCTCAGTGATTGTCCGCTATCTCAATTATGCTGACCGCGTAGCGATCCTCACCTCTTTCCGTAACTCACGCTCTCTGCAGATTGAGGGTCACAAATTACTGCTATTTGCGGACTACTCGCAGGAAGTGTCGCGTAAACGGAAAGCATTCCAGCAAGTATGTGCCACTCTTTATCAGAGAGGAATAAAGTTCACATTGGCGTATCCGGCCACGTTACGGTTCACTGCACCATCTGGGGCCTCTAAATCTTTTGTCCATCCTGAAGAAGCCCACCAATATCTCCGAGATCACCTAGCCGAAGGGGATCCGGCAACACAGCAGGCGGGTAGAAATTTTGGGCCCAGAGATCAACGCAGTCCCCGCAAAGACCCACCTAAACGTCAACGCATCATTCCATCTTCCTCTAAAGCTCGTCCGCCTTGAAGGTCTAGGAGGCCATTGGTCTCTACATTAAAGCTTCAAGCTTTTCTCTTGATCCGATTGGCTCTGGTGAAAGAGCTTTCTATTGGTATTTTTTATTTTTTGAATGGTATTTTTTTGCATACTGAAATGCTCACACATTCTAAAGTCTGAGCCTGTTCGGTTGTTCAGCGCTAGAAAAACGGCCCCCTCGGCTTATACTCGAGTCAACGTCTGCAGATGGCTCCCCCCCCCTTCCAACAGAAGGGAAACTACGGTAAGTACAGGGGTGGGCAGGGGGCTGCTGTCTCTTACCTGGCTCCGGTCCCACGACGATCCGGTCCAGGAAGTGCGGCTGCTCCTTCATTCGGTTCGTCCACTGGATGTTCGCGCGGCTGCTCGGCTCCGCATTCTCACCGGCGAGGAGGCGGAGCTGAGCGGCCCCGCGAAAATCGAGTGAAGGAGATGCAGGTAAGTGTGCCGTGCTTAGGTGCTGCTGCAACCACATATGCTGGCTGCAGCAGCACCATACTGGAACAGGGGTCAGCAAGTGTCAGTGGGAGGAATAGTGCCCCATCATTGGTGTCACTGATACCAATGATGGGGCATTATTCCTCCCACTGACACCAACGATGGGGCACTTTTCCTCCCCCCCACTGACACCAACGATTGGGCACTATTCCTCCCCCCCCCCCACTGACACCAATGATGGGGCACTATTCCACCCCCCACTGACACCAACGATGGGGCACTTTTCCTCCCCCCCACTGATACCAAAGATGGGGCACTATTCCTCCACCCCCCCACTGACACCAATGATGGGATACTATTCCTCCCACTGACACCAAAGATGGGGCACTATTGCACTGACACCAATAATGGGGTGCTATTCCCCCCCACTGATACTAATGATGGGGCACTATTCCTGCCACTGATACCAATGATGGGGCACTATTCCTCCCACTGACTCCCACACCAATGATGGGGCGCTATTCCTCCCCACTGACACCAATGATGGGGCACTATTCCTCCCACTGATACCAATGATGGGGCACTATTCCTCCCACTGACACCAATGATGGGGCACTATTCCTCCCACTGACACCAATGATGGGGCGCTATTCCTCCCACTGATACCAATGATGGGGCACTATTCCTCCCACTGACACCAATGATGGGGCGCTATTCCTCCCACTGACACCAATGATGGGGCACTATTCCTCCCACTGACACCAATGATGGGGTGCTATTCCTTCCACTGACACCAATGATGGGGCACTATTCCTCCCACTGATACCAATGATGGGGCACTATTCCTCCCACTGACACCAATGATGGGGCACTATTCCTCCCACTGACACCAATGATGGGGCACTATTCCTCCCACTGATACCAATGAT